CCGAGGGGGGGGAGAGAGAGAGAGAGAGAGAGAGAGAAGGGGGGGGGGGGGAGGACACCCACGCAGGAGGGGAAGAGCACGGGAGAGGGAAGGGGGCGCCCTCCGGGCCCCCACCCCGGCGCCGGGTGTGCTACGCACCGAAGCTGTCGAAGTTCATGCCAAGGGCCCGGCACCGGACATAGTCGTCGAGCCCGTGCGCCGGGGCCGTGTGCACCAGCCCGGTGCCCGAGTCGTCGGTGACATAGGTGGCATCGACCACCGTAAACAGGTGGGCCGAGGGGGCGCCCGGCCCGGCGGCCGCACACTGCCCGGCATACGGGGCCGTGTACCGGCGGCCGACCAGCTCGGTCCCCGGGGCCGAGGCCAGCACCGTCAAGTCCTCCTCGGCACAGCCGAGCTCCCCGGCCAGGTAGCCCACCCGGGCGCGGGCCACCCACACCGGCTGGCTGGGCTGCTGGGCCTCCGGCCCGGCTGGCGGCCGGACCAGGACATACTCCAGCCCGGGGCTGACGGCCACCGCCATGTTGGCGGGCAGGGTCCAGGGGGTGGTGGTCCAGATGAGCAGCGCCGAGTCATGGGGGCACTTCTCCAGGGGGAACTTCACCAGCACCGACCGGCTGACGTAGTTGTCGGCATACTCGAGCTCGGCCTCGGCGAGGGCGGTGCTATGTTTATGTGCGTGTGTGCGTGTGTGTGCGTACGATGTGATGTGATGTGATGTGATGTGATGATGCATGTGTGTGTGTTGCGTACGGTGCCATGCGTCGCATGCATGGGCCACATTGAGAGCACACATGCGCGCCAGCATGCGGAATGCGGGGCGGACGAGGCACGTGTGTGAGTCGGGCATCCCGGCGCACAAGAGAGCCGAAAGGGAAAGGAAAGGAAAAAAAAAAAAAAAAGACACCCGACGCAGGGGAGGCCCCGCCCCCCCACGCACCGCGACGCAGGGGACCAGTACACCGGCTTGTAGTCGCGGTAGATATTCCCCCGGGCCACCATCTTGGCGAAGACCGTCAGCTGGGCCGCCTCAAAGCGCGGGTCCAGGGTCTGGTACGTGTGCGCGGCCAGGCCCTCGTCCGACAGATCGGCCAGGATGCCCAGGCGCTCGAAGACGTCGCGCTGCTCGCGGATGGTGCTCAGGGCAAAGTCCCGCGCCAGATGGCGGACGTCCATCGGCGAGGAGCTCGGCGCCGGGGCGCCAGCCGGCGGGTCGGCCTGCTTGCGCTTCTTGCTGGCGGCCTTCTGCCGCTTGGAGAAGGCCTCCTGCGCCTTGAGCTCGATCGGCAGCCCGTGGCAATCCCACCCGGGGATGCTGACCACCCGGTCCCCGCGCAGGAGCCGATACCGCATGACGAAGTCCTTGAGCACCCGGTTCAGGCAGTGCCCCATGTGGATCCGGCCATTGGCATAGGGCGGCCCATCGTGCAGGACAAAGGTCCGCCCCTGCCGGGCCGGGTCCGCCAGCTGCTGGTGGTACAGCCCGGTGGTGGCCCGGTGCCGGAGGAGCGGCTCGCGCCGGGCCGCATCCGCGCGCATCGGGTACTCGGTCTTCGGCAGGCAGAGGGTCCGCGAGAGGTCGGTCTCGCCGGGGGCCGGGGGGGCCGGCTCCGGCGCCGGGACCGCCGAGTACCGGGCCGAGGGCCGGTCAGGGCCGGGCGCCTCCGCGCCATGCGCCGCCAGGGCCCGCGGCAGCAGACCGGCCAGGGCCGGCCGCCGGTGATGGAGGTGGTGTTGCTGCTGCTGGAGCAGGCGGAGCATGATCGGGTGGGGCCAGGCTCCAGGGAGGAAGATGAAGGCGATGAGGAGCAAGCGCGAGAGGGGGGGGGGGGGCAAAGGGGGAGAGGGGGAAGTGGGGCCGGGCCGGGAGGCCGGGCCGCATCGCCGGGCCCGCCGAAAGGTCTGCTCTCCGTCTGTGCCCCGCGACGGAAGGGCCCGGCCCGCCGCCGGCCGGGGTGCCGGGCCAGGCAAGATCGTCCGGAGGCCGCCCCTCCCGCCCGCCGGCCCGCCATCCCCGGGGCCAGATCGGCGGCCGACGCGACCCCGGGACCCGGGCCCCGGCGCCCCACACACGTGCGCGCCGGCGCTCGGTCGTGCGCCGCGTTGGCACCCGCCCAGGCCCGGGGCCGTCGGGCCACGCAGCGCCCGGCGCAGCGGCGGCCGATCGGCCGGGTGCACAGCTGGATGCGGGCGGGGCCGGCGAGCTGCCCGGGCTGGGCCGGGCCCGCGCCCGGGGAGTTGGTTGACCCCCCCCCCCCCCCGTTCCCCTGTTCCCTAGATCGCGCCGAGTCCCAGAAGAGACACCAGCCGGCACTGGCGCACCGGCTCGCCCGCCGGCGTCCTGGCATCCTCCACGCCAGCTCTTGGCCCTCCTCTCCTTCCCCGCTCCCCGCTCTCCGCTCTCCGCTCCCCGCTCCCCGCTCCCCGCTCTCCGCTCCCCGCTCCCCCCCCCCCTCTGCCAACACGTTTATACGCGCTATGGCCAGCCTCTCGCGGGCCGTCCACATGGTGGCTATCCTCCTGGCGCTGCTGGCACTGGCCGCCACCGCCACCGCCACCGCCACCGCCACCGCCACCGCCACCGCCACCGCCACCGCCACCGCCACCGCCACCGGCAGCACAGCGACGGCCTGGCCGTCGACCATGGACGGCAGGCCAGTCCCCTGGCCGGCGGCCCTGGCGGCCCTGGCCGAGGCCGGGGCCCGGTGCGCCCTGGCCGACCGGCGCCTGATGCACGCGAACCTGGGCCTGACCGACGCCCTGCTCGAGGACCGGCTGCCGGCCTATCAGCTGGGCCACCTGCGCGCGTACCTCCCCCACGAGCAGGCGATCCGCCTCCGGACACCGGGCAGCCTGCACGGGGCGGACGAGCCGGAAACCCGGGCCCTGCTGGGCGCCCTGGCCGCCGGGGCGCCGGATGCCACCTTCCGCCAGGCCTTCCCGGCCTTCGACTTTGCCGAGCCGCTGGCCCCGATGGCCGAGTCGTTCCTCCGGCCCGGGGGCCCGGTGGCCGCCGGGGATGAGGGCCCCGGGCCCGGCACGGCCCCGGGCCCGGCTCCCCTGGCCCCCACCGACCCGGTGGTCCTGCTGCTGGAGCTCGCGGTCCGGGCGGCGCCCACCCCGAGCAAGGACCGCCCGGCCGACGTGGCCCCGGGCTCGGTGGACTTCCTGTGGGAGGTGGTGCTCAGCCTGCCGGCCGATCTGGCCGCCCGGGCGGGCCCCTGCCTGCGGGGCGAGGCGGCCCCGGACACCGGGGTGGCCGCCTTCGGCCCGACCCCCCGCCGCATGGGCGACTGCCAGCACCTGCGCGACACCTGCGGCCTGACCGTGCAGCATGTGTTCTGGGTCAACCCGGCCACCGGCCGGCGGCTGGGGGTCCGCCTGCCGGCCGACCGGTACCTGTCGGCGGCCGACGAGCAGCAGGCCGCCGCCACCCGGCGCCGGCGGGGCGCCCTCCGTCGCCTGCTCGGCTGGGTGGCTGTCATCTTCGGCGGGGCGGCTGTCCTCGGCGGGGCGGCCTTCATTGTGGCCAGCTTGCTGGGGCTGGAGCCGGCTGGCCGAGTCCGGCGCCTGCGTGCCGGCCAGGCCGCCCCGGCGCCCACCGGGCCCAAGGAGGACTGAGAAAAAGAAGGCAAGAGGGAGGGGCGGAGGGGGGGGGAGGGAAAGCCGCGGGCGTGTCCCCCCGCCCCTCCCCCTGGGGCCGGGCGGCTGCCTCCCTCCCTCCCCGCTGCCGACGCATGTGTCGGCGGCGTGTGCCGGCCCTTTAACCGTGTCCGGCCTCCGGGGCGTAACCCAAATAGAGCAGCACTTGATGAACGGCAGCCGGGCCCCTGGCGGGCGGGCGGGCGGGTGCGCGGGCGAGTGTGGCGCAACCGGGCGCGGGCTGCCAACGCGGCAGGTTTCCCGGCGGCGGGTCAAGGGGGGGGGGGTGGAGGCCGATCATCTTTTTGCGGCTCGGGTGGAGGGGGCCCGCGGCCGGATCTCGCGAATGGCGGCCAGCTCCTCCTCCCCGCCTCCCCCTTCGTGACGTGTTTCCCTTGAATGCTGGAGTGTGCCCTCCGCCGACGCTTGTCCTCTGCCGACGTTTGTCTTGTGCCGAGGTTTGCCTTCTCTTGAAGTCTGCCCCCCGCCAAGGCCTGCACCCCGCCAGGAACCCGCCCTCCGCCAGGAACCCGCCCTCCGCCAGGAGCCTGTCCCCGCCCCCATCTCTGCCCCATGGATACCGACGCGCCGCTGGCGCCCGGCACGCCCAGGACTCGGCGCCACACCCCGGCGCCGGCCCTGCCACGCCAGGTGGAGGCCCGGCGCTTCGCCACACACTTCCCCAAGAGTCGGTTTCGGCCGCGGTACGCCGCCACCGCCCCCGGGCCTGCCCCCCTTCCCCGCGGTCTTGGCCGGGGCGCTGCCCTCACTGACCGCGCGCCCCTGCCCCATGGCCGAACAGCGCCCGCGACGGGCCTCTCGTGGAGGCATACCTCCGGGCCTTGTCCAGCCAGGCACACTCCTCCTTCGCCTTCCACCAGCGGAACACCGGTACATCGCCGCCCCCCTGCCGGCCCTGGCCTTGCCCTTGAAGACAGCCCCGTCGCTGACTCCTCGTGCACATGCACGCGCGCGCGCACACCCGGCTGGGCCGACCCCTCGCCCCTCTCTTCCCCTCTGCGTCGCAAGGCTCCTTCCGACATCTGCACGCGTCCAAGGCGGCGCCCCCCTTGTCGCTGACGATTGATCGGTTTCTCTTCGACCGCATCGGTGCGCCTCCCCCCCCCCCCCCCCTCACCCTCGGGCCGCGCGCTGCTGCTGACCCCCCTCCCTCCTCTACGCCCTCGCCCTGCGCGCGCCCATATGCCCGGGGAAACAACCCCCCCCCCCCCAGGCGGGAATATGTATGCCCAGGCCCGGTGCCTGCCCCGCGAGGCCCAGGCCCTTGCCCAGGCGCGGCAGCATGCCAGCCAGGCGCGCTTCGCCGGGCAATTCTTCGGCCGGCCCGTGGCGCTGGTCCTGCCGTACGCCCATGTGGCGGCTCTGCGGCAGGAGCTGCTGCTTGGAACGGCCCCGGTGGCCGGTGGCCGGGCCGAGATGCTGGGGCTGCTGGCCGGCCGGCCGGTTGACATGCCGGCCGCCAGCCCGCCGCTGACCGTGCACCTGCGCCTTGGCAGGTAGGTGCCCCTCTGCCCGGTCCTCCTGCCCTCTTGGCCCTTCTTTTCCGCTCGCCCCTTTCACTGGACTTCGCTCGGGCGCCTCGGCCTGCTGACCTCCCCCCCTCCTCCCGGCATCTGGCCCCGGATCGCCGCCGCCGCCGCCGCCGCCGCCGCCGCCGCCGCCGCCGCCGCCGCCGCCGCCGCAGCTGCCTCGCCTCGCCCCTGCCCCCGGGCCCCGAGGAGGCCGGGTACTTCATGTTTTGCGACCACTTCTACTTCGACGACCCGAGCCCCCGACGGCCGGGCGTCTCCGGGGGGCCGGCCGAGCCGGCCAGAATGTCCCCCGTCCCGGTGATGATGACCAGCGCCCTTGGCCCGGGGTGTTCCCGCCAGCCGGGGCCAGCGGGCCACAGGCTCCGGACCCCGGGCGCGCCGCCGGCCCGGTGCCGCCTGGCAGCCCTGCCCAGCCGGCGGCAGCTTCCCCCGGGCCGGCGGCACCGACGACGCCCCCGGCAGCCGGCCCCGACCTCGGCCCCCCGCGACAGGCGCGCCGGACCCCCTTCATCCCCTTCGGCGGGTCGCGGGACTTCCTCCGACAAACATAGCCCCCAACTCCGGGGACCCCTCGCGCCCCCCTTGGCGGTGTGGATGACAAAGGTGGTGGATAAATGGAAAATAGTACAACTCCCCCAAGTGCCAGGGGAGGAGGGGAGGGGGGGGGGGGGGGGAGGCGGGGCCCAGGGGGCGGGCATTACTCGTGCAGCAGGGCCGGGTCGGCGAAGCGCTCGAGGCCGAGCTGGGCCGATCCGTCATCCACGCGCGGGTCGATCAGCATCCCGCGGATGAGGTTGACATTGGCGTGGTCCTCGGCGGTGATCAGGGCCAGGAAGCCCTCGCGCCCGAGCAGGCGCTCCGACAGCCGGCGAACGGTTTGCTCGATGGCGGCCAGGAAGGCGGCCTCCTCGCCGGTGGCCGGCGGGGCCGGGACCAGGCGCTGCCGGGTCCGGAACCCCTGGGCCGCGGCCAGGGCCCGGCGGCTGACCAGCTCCGACACCTCATCGAAGGACCCCAGCTCGCGGGTTACCTCCTGGACCACGGTGTCGCGCAGGCCCCGCAGGAAGTCCCGCCGGTCGCGCAGAAGCTGGGCCCCGTCCTGCTCGACCATGGCGTCGCCTCGGTGCGCGCAGTATAGCCGCGTTCCGGCCGGCAGCGTGTCCACCAGGCGCCCGAGCGAGGCGATCTCCACCCGCGGGCGCTCATCCAGCCGGTAGGCCTTCCGCCGCCGGGCGATGAACATATCCCCGGCGAAGAGGATCTTGTGCTCGGGCGCGAAGATGGCATGGTGGTCGAAGATGTGGCCACTGCCCGGCGGTCCGGCGAAGTGGGCAGGGGGGGGGGGGGCGGGGCGTTGGGCCGGGTGAGTGTGGGGCCGGTGGCGCGGTGGCCGGGAGGCCGGGCGTCTGGCCGAAGATCGGGCCCATCGGGCGGCGTACGGTGTGTGGATGGGCTCCAGCGGCCCGACGTCGGGCCCGGCGTCGAAGCTCGGCCCCAGCACGCCGGTCGGGCTGAATGCCCGGAACCGGCCCCAAATGGCCAGTCGGTACCACTCCTGGAAATAACCGGTCTGGCCGGGGGAGGGGGGGGGGGGCAGAAAGGAAAAGGAGAAAGGGATGTCAGTCAAAGGGCCAAGGGGGGCAGATCCGCATGGGGGGGGGGTCATGCACCTGCACGATCTGGCTTGTCATCGGTGTGCAGTAGACCGGCAGCTGGTGGCGGGCCTGCAGGAGCCCGGCGTTGCCTGTGTGGTCCTCGTGGTGGTGCGTGACCAGGACCGATGTCGGGGCCTGGTCCGCGTGGAAGGACCGGAAGAGCCGGTCCACCCGGGCCGACACATTGGACGGGCCGCAGTCGATGACCGTGTCGCCGATGCGGAAAAGCCAGTAGGAGGTGGTTGTGCCGAAGCGCCGGAACCGGCCGACATTGTGGCACTGGACCAGGGGCCGCATGGGATCGGGGCGCAGGGGATCGGGGCGCAGGGGATCGGGGCCTGGCTGCCGGTTGCTCGTCTAGGTGCGTCCGGGCCGTCGGTTGCCTGCCGCTTGCTGTGCGGGAGGGTGGGCGTGGATCCGGGGGTGGGAGGGGGGGCGGATGCGCGGAAGAGAAGATCGGCGGGGGAGGGGGCGAGGCTGGCGATGCGGAAGTGCCGGCCCCTTGTGGCGAAGGCACCCGGTGGGCCTGCCGTTCTTTGTGCGGGTTCTTTCGGCCGATCTGCCCCTCAGCCTTCACACATGCACATACGCGCACGCACTTGGACGCCCCCCGCCCCCGGCAGGCACCACGGACGGAGGGCCGATCCGGGGCCGGGCGCGCACGCCCACACAGCGCCGCAGGATGGCGACCGTCGGCACCTGGGCTCGGGATCTGGCGGCCTCTCGGCGCCGCGGCCGACAGGTGCGCGTCAGGATGCCATCGATCCGGGCCTCCGAAAAGAGCGCGGGACGGGCCGGCCGCCTGCGATCGGCACTCGACCCCCCACGCGCGCGCCTCCGCCGCACTGCTTCTCCTCCCCCTGTGCCTTTTCCCCATCTTCCTCTGCCCCCTGGGTCTTCTCTTGCCGGCACACAGCCGTCCCCCTCCCCCCCTCGCCCCTGGCCCCGGCTCGGCCTCCCCCCTCCCATGGCTGGCGCCGACTCGCGCCACGACTATCGCCAGGCCCAGGAGGCCTGGGTCACCGGGCACACCGGGTCCTCCACGGCCGTGGCCCTGGCTCACAGCCTGCTGGTGGTGGTCCTCTCGGCGGTAGTCGCTCGCCTGGCGGCGGCCAGCCTGGACCGGCGCCAGGCCGGCACCTACACCCGGCACCTGGGCCTGGAGCTTGTCCTCTCGGCCGGGCCCATGTGGCTGGCCCTCTGCTGGCCGGAGTGGAATGCCACGGCGCTGGCGGCCCTCGGGGCCCTGGGACTGGCGCTGCTGGCCGACAATGCCGGGGCCGTGTTCGGCCGGCCGACGCCGGAGGCCGACGCCGCGCGCCTCCAGGCCCTCAATCACCCCCGGAAGTGTGCGTCCCGGCCTGGCCCCCGCCCTCCGCCCGCCATGGCCCATGGGGCCTGGCCTCCTATATGCCTGCCTTTCCTCCGGGCCGCGTGGCTGTGCTCCCCCCTCGCGTGCTGCCGCTGCCGCCCCTGAATGAAGGGACCTCTGACACTCCGCCCCCGCCTGTAGTGGCACTCAGCCACCTGCGAGCCGGGCTGCTGCTCTCCACCTGCATCGCCATCCTGGCCGTGGATTATGCCATCTTCCCGCGCAGCTTCGCCAAGACCGAGAACTACGGCATCTCAGTGGTGCGCCCCATGCCGCTGGAGGGAGGGAGGGAGGGTACTCCACGCCGGGGGGCGTCCGGGCACGCATGCCAGTCCCCCTCCCCTCCCGTCTCCTTCGAAGCGTGCCACATACACACACACACACACACACACGCACGATCACATGCGTGCACTGACACCCAGAGCACCCCGGCCCGCAGATGGACGCCGGTGTCGGGTGCTTTGTCTTCATCGGGGCCGTCAGCTCGGCCCGGTGGGCACGCCTGGACCAGGAGCACGACGCGCCAGCCGGCGTGCCGCTGGCCCGGCGTCTGGGGGACCTTCTGCGCGCGGTCTGGTCCGCCTGGCCGCTGCTGCTGCTGGGATTCGGCCGGCTGCTGGCCGTCCGATCGACCGGGTATCAGGTGCGCCAACGTGTGCCTCCCCTCTGCCGGGTCTCTGCCGCGCACCGCCTCCCGGACGCGCAAGGGGCCGACGGCCAGCAAGCGCGACTCACCTCTGCCCCCGTGCCCCCCTTGTACCGGCCCTCGCGCCCCGGGCGCAGGAGCACGCCTCCGAGTATGGCCGGCACTGGAACTTCTTCTTCACCCTGGGCGCGGTCCCGGCCCTGGTGACCCTGGCCACGGCGGTCTGCCGGCCGGGGCGCTTTGTCTGGCTGCTGGCGGGTCTGCTGCCGGTGTGGCAGTGGCTGCTCACCGGCTCGCCGGGCCCGGCAGCCGAGCTGGCCATCACCGGCGGCCTCCCGGCCCCCGAGTGGGTGCCCTGGGTGGTGGGGCAAAACCGCGAGGGGCTGGTCAGCCTGGCCGGGTATCTGGCCATGGCGCTGGCCGGGGCCCGGGCCGCGGTGGCCCTCTTCACCCCGCGCCCGTCGGTGGCCGCCTGGCGCCGGGTTGCACTGGACCTGCTGGGCGCCAGTGCCCTCTGTTGGGCCGGGTACTTCCTCCTGTCGGAGGTCCTGGGCCTGGACCCCTCGCGACGTGTGGTACGCTGTGGCTCTCCGGCATCCGGGCGGCGGGGGGATATTATTTTTCTTCACGCCGCGCGCATCCTCCTCGGCCGCCCCTGTCTGTGCCTCCTGCTCACTCCTCGGCGTGTGCCCTTTCACCGGCTGACGCGAGGATGCCCAGGCCAATCCGGCCTACGCGCTGTGGATCGTGGCGGCCATGCTCCTGGCGGTCGGGGCCCTGCTGCTGGCGGAGACGGTGCTCCCGGCTCCCGGCGGGTCGACTGCCGGCGGCCCCCTGGCCCGGGCCCTGACGCGCAACCAGCTGGCCCTCTTCCTGGCGGCCAATGTCTCCACCGGCCTGGTGAACCTGACCACCCGGACACTGGATGCGTCGCCGGCGGTCGGCCGTCTGGCCATGCTGGCCTACACGGCCTGGCTTCTGGGCCTGGCCGTGCTGCTGGACCGGGGGCTGGATGTGACGCTTCGGTGGTGGTAACAATGAACTTGCGAGCGATGGCTGGCTGTGCTATGCTATGCTATGCTATGCTGTGTTGTGTTGTGCTGCGCTGTGTTGTGCTGTGCTGTGCTGTGTTGTGCTGTGCTGTGCTGTGTTGTGCTGTGCTGTGCTATGTTATGCTGTGTTGCGTTGTGCTGCGCTGTGCTGTGTTGTGCTATGTTATGCTGCGTTATGCTACGCTGCGCCGTGCCATGCTGTGCTGCGTTATGCTGTGCCGTGCCACACCATGCCGTGCCACACCATGCTGTGCCACACCATGCTGTGCCACACCATGCTGTGCCGTGCCATGCACCACGGGTGTGTATGCCTGCACACGGGCCCACAGAGGGGGCTGAAGGGCAAAATATGCCCCGGGAGGGGAGGGAATCCACTGACCCGTGTGTGCCCGGAAGGGACACGGCAGAGCGCAACACCCATCCCCGCCCGCTGACAGGGCACGCACAACCGGGGGGGCGCCCGGTGCGCGCTCACACAGGCACACAAGACGGTGGCCCACATACACGTGCGCGCACGCCAATCCCCCCGCCCAACAAACTCCACCCGGGGCATCCCCCCGGCAAAGCAAGGCATCTTCAATTATTAAATGGATGGTGGTGCATGTGGAGCGCCGTGCACGGAACCAGGGAGGGGAAAAGAGGCACTCCCGCAAGTACGGCCGCCACGAGGGGGGAAGGGCTGGAAAGACTGGAGAGAGGGAGATGAGTTAGGAGAGGGGCAGCGGGACGCGAGAGGGCGAGAAGAGGGGGGGCAAAGGGGCGCGTGTGGAGAGTCTCCAGGTTATGGGTGATGAAATTGTCGGCATGTGTTTGGTGTCCGAGGTGATTCTAGGTTGGGATCTTCCTCGACAGACCACACGCGGAGAGGAGCGGGGGCGGGGAGAGGGGGGGAAAGGAAGGGAGGACGCACGGAAACAGGGCGAGGCACACAGTCGCGGAGGACACGAAAGCACACCCAAAGGGACAACACACAAACACACACACACACGCAGGCGGAGGGCCCGGGGGCCCGCCGCAGAGCGACGACCCCGGGCCCGGACACCTGGAGCATGTGTCGCGGTCGCACACCACCGGGCCCAGCGCACGCACTCTTTTCAGGCTGCACATGAGCTCGCTCGCGCTGCCAGCAAGTAAGAGCCACTCTTTCCCGCCCTTTTGTCGTGCCAATGGACACCCCACGTTGGCATGTCCGCCGGCGCCCCGCCCGCCCCGGGGATGATGTTTGCTCCCCCCCCCCCCCCGCCGGCCCGCCCGCAAGGAAGCCGGAAACCAATCAAGCAGGGGCGGGGGGAAAGAAGAAAGAAGACAACGCGCACAGCGACGAGCATGGGGGAGGGATATATTTTTTTGATTGTTTTCTGTTTTCTTTCTGGCAAGGGGAAAAGAACAAGGACACGGTGGTGGTGGGAGGGGGCGCGTGCGAGCGCACGAGGACTGAGGGCGGGGGGGGGGGGGGAGAGAGAAACAGAGAGGAACAGAGAGAGACAGAGAGGAGGGAGGGGAAAGGCGAAAGGGCGGCGAGGAGGACAGGCCGCCGGCCGGGGAAGGGTAGCTGGCCCGCGCGCAGACACGCCGCCCTTGCACACGCCGCCCCCCTCACACAAGCAAGCGCACGCACGCACGCACACACGCACACACGCACACACACACACACACACACCTTAGGACCGGGCTCCAGGGCGGGGCGGCTTGATCGGCGGGGCGGCCGGGATGCGCGCGCGGATGGCCGCCGGCTCGGCCTCCAGAGCCGCCTGGCGCCGGGCCAGCAGGTCGCTGATGTCGGTCACCAGCTTGCCGGACTTCAGGGCCCAGTAGATGTCGCACGAGTAGGTGGGCCGGGCCTCGGCGACCTTGCGGTCGGCCTCGCTGCCATTCAGGGTAGCATGGCGGAGCAGCCGCTGGCGGATGTCATACTCGGCCTTGCAGGCGTCGAAGAAGGACCGGACGTACTCGCGCTCGATGGTATGCTCGAGCTGCGGGCCGGAGGGCAAGCGAGGATGGGGTAGCGTACACACACACACAGAGAGAGAGAGAGAGAAGGGAAGGAGGGAGACAGGGGGCACACCGCGACCGGGGAGCATGCACGCCCGAGGACACACGGAACAAGCGAGGGAAGGGAGCCCCAGGAACGGCAGAGGGTTAGCGCCCATGGGCGAGATGAGAGGGAGGGAATACCGCACAAGGAGGCGGCCCGCTGGCCCGGAGAAACACGCACCACCTTGAGCGCGTTCGAGGAGGCCGGGAAGCGCGGGTCGAAAGAGGCCGCCGACACGAAGTACGGCACGGCCATGTTGGCGGTCACCCGCGGTGTGGGGTGCGTGTCGGCCTGCCGGTAGGTGAAGTCCGGCGGCGCGGTGTAGCTGGCATTGGCGTGGTTGGTTGTCAAGTTCGACAGCAGGAACAGGAAGATGAAGATGATCGGCAGCACGGTGGCCACCGCGCTCCAAATCTTCTCGATGGGCCCCTGTGGCCCGGCGGCCGCGGCGCCACCATCGCGCGCCCGCGCACGGCCCCGATCCGGATGCGAAAACATCCCGGGGAAGTTGTCCCCGCGGACATTGAAAAATTGCGTGTGCATGGCTGGCCACACACGCCGGCGAGGGGCAAATGATGGGACACCCGGTCAGACAACGGCGCATGTGCTGCTGGCGGCAGGCGAAGGAGGGAAAGGCGCGAGGGCGAGGGGGCGAGGGCCGGGGGAGAGCCATCCAGAAAGCCCCTCATCCCCCGGAGGCCCGGCACATAGGACGAGGTGACGCACAGCCCGGCCGCCGCTGGGCACCCTCGAAGGGGCCATACATCATGAAGGTGAACAGGTCATGCGGGTTCATGTTGGCGAAGTTGAAGTTCGCCCCGTTGTACATGTGTGGGTCGAAGCCCCCGGCCCGGCGCCGGGTCCCGGCCGAGTGCGCCGAGAAGGGGAACGTCCCACTGCCGCCGGCGGAGGCGGTGCTCTCGCGGCTGGCGGCCGTGGCCCCGCCGCGCTCGAAGGCGCCGGTCATGTCGAAGCGCCGCCGGCGGTCATTGTCCGAGAGGACGCGGAAGGCCTCATCAATCACTGTGGGGAGGGGGG